CCTGGGGATACAGGCAGAGGAGGTGGAGGAGGATGTAGACCCTGTCGTTGATATCCTGGCCCCCTCCGGCCCATCCAGGGTTGCGTTGCCACTGATTAAAACTATAACTGACACATCTAAGAATCTGTGGCAAACCCCCGCTTCTCTGGCTCCTATGCCAAGAAAGCCGAGCGCCACTACTTCGTTCCTTCTAAGGGTTACGAACATCATTATACCCCCACTCTTTGGTGGTCGATGCGGCCAATCAGAGAGAACGCCAAGGTTTTTAGGGCTCCACCCCAAAAAACAGGGCCGCCAAGAAACTGGACCGATTTGGCCGAAAGGTCTATTTAACTGGGGGGCCTGCAGCTCCGGATAGCCAACCAGCAGGCTATAGTAAGCCGCTACGGGCATAACACCTGCTCGTCTATGGCTAAGTTTGCCAGGAAACTCGGGTGGAGTTCTCCACGCTCGTGGAGGAGGGGAAACTGGTCTCCAGAGCATTGCTACAAGCGACTCTGGACACGGCGGATGCAGCCTCCCACACGCTGGCCACAGGGGTAGTGATGAGACAAGGCTCCTGGCTGCAGGTCTCTGGACTACCACACGAGGTCCAACAGACCATCCAGGACCTTCCTTTAGAGGGATCAGCTCTTTTCTCTGAAAAGACAGATAAGAGACTTCATAGTTTGAAGGACTCGAGAGCTACCTTTCAATTGCTGGGACTTCACACGCCGGCTACTCAGCGCCGGCATTTTAGGCCTCAGCCTGCCCCTCAGCCTTATCAACCACAAAACCGCCAGGATGTTCCGCATTGGCGCAACAGGAGTACTAGGAGGAGACACCCTTCCTTCTCTGGGCAAAACTCTGGCCAGCCAAAACCCCCACCTGGGCCCAGACCACCCTTTTGAGGGTGCAGTGGGACGGCTTTCCAGTACGGTCTCTGGATCATAGAATCTCAAGGTTGGAAGGGACCTACGGAGGTCATCTAGTCCAACCCCCTGCTCAAAGCAGGACCAATCCCCAGACAGATTTTTGCCCCAGATCCCTAAATGGCCCCCTCAAGGATTGAACTCACAACCCTGGGATTAGCAGACCAATGCTCAAACCACTGAGCTATCCCTCCCCCGATCCTTCCCATCTTACCTTCTCATCCTGTCTATCCCCTTTCTACCTACCGTGCCTGGTCCCGAATTACTTCAGACCGCTGGGTCCTCCATCCAATTCTATACCCTCCCACCTCACCTACCCCCTTCCCTGTCCCCTTTCATGAGCAACTTCTAATTCAAGAAGTGCAGTCCCTCCTCTTGGTAGGGGCAGTGGAGGAGGTTCCTCAGGAGCTAAGGGGCAAGGGTTTCTACTCCTGGTATTTCCTAATACCAAAGGCCAAGCGGGCGCCTCAGACCCATCCTGGACCTGCGACAGCTCAACAAGCATGTAAAGAAACTCAAGTTTTGCATGGTCTCACTAACCTCCATTATCCCCTCACTGGATCCAGGAGACTGGTACGCCGCCCTCGACTTGAAGGACGCGTATTTTCATATTGCAATAGTCCCACATCACAGACGCTGCCTCAGATTCGGTCAGCAGAGGCCACTATCAGTTTGCTGTCCTCCTGTTTGGACTGTCGACCGCCCCCCGAGTATTCACGAAATGCATGGCAGTTGTTGCAGCGTTGCGGCGTTCCTGCGCAAACGCCAGATACTAATTTTTTCCTATCTCAACGACTGGCTAATCAAGGGACGCTCAAGAGCCCAGGTGGAGGCTCAGGTAGAATTTATAAGAAGGACCTTCCTCGAACTGGGTCTTCTCCTAAACGAGGAGAAATCTACCCTGTCCTCGGTGCAGAGGATAGAGTTCATAGGCGTGGTCCTGGACTCTACCCGAGCCAGGGCGTACCTCCCAGAAGCCAGGTTTTGCTCATTTCGGGATATCATACAGGGTCTCAGACAGTTCCCCACCACCTCAGCAAGGAACTGCCTAAGACTACTGGGGCACATGGCTGCGTGCACCTACGTAGTGCAGCACACCAGGCTCAGACTACGTCCACTCCAGTCTTGGCTAGCGTCGGTGTATCAGTCAGCTCGAGACGCTCTGGACTGCATTGTAACCCTGCCCCGCCCTGTGTTGCACTCCCTTTTGTGGTGGCTCGACCCGCGAGTAGTTTGCATGGGAGTGCCCTTTGCCAGCCCTCAGCCCTCTCTCTCTCTTTGGTGACAGACGCCTCGGATCTGGGCTGGGGAGCTTACCTAGGGAACCTCAGGACTCAAGGCCTCTGGTCTCAGACGGACTTCGCTCTACACATCAATGTCAAAGAGCTGAGAGCGATGCGTCTGGCATGCTATGCTTTCAAAGCCCACATAACGGGCAGGAACACCTCACAGACAACACCTCGGCGATGTTCTATAGCAACAAATAGGGGGTGCACACTCCTCTCCCCTGTGCCGCGAAGCCCTCGCGCTGTGGGACTTCTGCGTAGAATACTCGATACACCTACAGGCGTCATACCTCCCAAGGGTTCAGAACGCGCTGGCGGACAGCCTCAGCCAGACATTCCAGGGCCACTAATGGTCCCTTCATCCAGATGTGGTGAACTCAATCTTCCGGTTCTGGGGCTCTCCCCAGATAGACCTTTTCGCCACTCGTGGCAACAGGAAGTGTCAGGCATTCTGCTCCCTCAAGAGTCACAGCCCGGGGTCCATCAGGGATGCCTTCCTTCTCTCTTGGGCGGGCCACCTGCTCTATGCTTTTCCACCTATCCTGCTGATCCACAGGGTGCTCCTCAAGATCTGCAGGGATCAGGCTCGAGTTATACTCATAGCACCGGCATGGCCGCGCCAACACTGGTTCACTTCGCTCCTGGAAATGTCAGTAGGCACCCACTTTAGGCAGACTCTGGCACCCAAATCTGGAGTCCCTTCACCTCACAGCCTGGATGGTCCATGGCTAAGCGCCGCGGAGCTGTCATGATTGGACCAGGTCAAGCAAGTCCTCCTGGGTAGTAGAAAGCCTTCCACCAGGGCAACGTACCTTGCCAAGTGGAAACGATTCTCCATCTGGGTGGAGCAATGCCATCAGTCGCCTCTCCTCGCCCCCATACCATTCATACTGGACTACCTCCTGCACCTAAAACATCAAGATCTGTCCCTGTCATTAATAAGGGTCCATTTAGCTGCCATCTCCGCCTTCCATCCGAGCTCAGATGGGTTCTCGATTTTTCAAACCCTATAGCCAGTCCCTTCCTCAAGGGTTTGGACAGGCTCTTCCTACACACTTGTCAGCCTGTCCCAGCCTGGGACCTCAATCTAGTCCTGTCCAGACTTACAAGCCCCCCATTTGAACCACTGGCCACCTGCTCTTTGTTGTATCTCTCGTTCAAGGTTGCCTTCCTCGTAGCAATTACCTCAGCTCGGAGGGTTTCAGAGTTCAGGGCCCTCACGTCTGAGCCCCCTTACACAGTTTTTCATAAGGACAAGGTCCAACTTAGACCTCACCCTGCTTTCCTCCCTAAGGTTGTTTCCCAGTTTCACATGGCCCAGGACATTTTCCTCCCAGTGTTTTACCCCAAGCCACACTCCTCCGATAGGGAGCGCAGGCTGCACTCACTGGACGTACGTAGAGCCTTAGCCTTCTACATAGAAAGAACTAAGCCGTTTCGGAAGTCCGTCCAACTTTTTGTGGCTGTGGCGGACAGAATGTGTCCTCTCAGCGTATCTCGTCATGAATCACATCTTGCATTAGGGAGTGTTATGGCCTGGCGAAGGTGCCCGCCCCGACGATTACTGCCCACTCCACAAGGGCACAGGCCTCCTCGACGGCGTTCCTGGCGCAAGTCCCCATTCAGGAAATTTGCAGGGCAGCTACGTGGTCCTCGATACATACGTTTACGATGCACTATGCAATTACACAACAGGCCAGAGACGATGCGGCCTTTGGGCGGTGCTTCAATCTGTACATGACTCCGACCCCAGCTCCTAGCTTTGGCTTGTGAGTCACCTGCTTGGAATGGACATGAACAATCACTCAAAGAAGAAAAAATGGTTACTCACTTTCTCATAACTGTTGTTCTTCGAAATGTGTTGTTCATGTCCATTCCAATACCCATCCTCCTTCCATTCTGTCAGAGTAGCCGGCAAGAAGGAACTGAGGGGGTGGAGGGTCGGTGGGGCCCTATATTCTGCGCCATGAAGGTACCACTCCAGGGGGCGCCCAGGCCAACCTACGGAAGTTCCTAGAGGAAAAC